TTTGCTTCCCTGGAGACTAAGAAACCCTCCCCCTGGCCCAGGCCCCTGGCCGTGGCTGCCACGTCTTTCTCTGAGGACCTCACGCCTTCAGAGGCCTGACACAGCCACCCAAGCCAAGGTAGATTTCTCATTCAGTTCCTACAGAGAACAACTTGCCACTGTCATTGTCAAGTCTCCCCAAAGGAGCTCTCCCTCACAGTGACCCTACCCACAATGGCGAACAGTCACGCCCACTGCTATCCTTCCAATCTCTCCTCACACTCACTGGTCAATCAACTGATGGAGAAACTCCCCCTTCGTTGGTGTCCCTTTACCGCACTAAGCTTGATGTCCTTCTCTACTCCTCTACCAGGACCCAGAGCAGAGGGGCACTTACGGCACAGAACAGCGAGCGGCTGTCAGCACCCACTCGGGGTGAATGAGAGACCCCACACAGGGCTTGGGACTGGACTGCAGGTAGACCAGGTAAGGAACAGTAAAATCATGTGGCAACTTCACCTCAGGATCTTGAGAATTGGAGGTCAGAATGACACCTGGAGAACGGATGGGAAAGGAGAGAGGGTTGAGAGGTTCCTACGGAGGAAGGCAGGACTTTCTGGAGGGTGCTGGGAGTCGGGATCAACTCAACAGCACTGGGCTTGTGAGGGGTTTTATTTCCGATCTTCAAAGTTAATATCAAACACTTTAATAGTGTATTTAAATTTATTGAATCTAATTTTTTGTGCTTTTATCTTATATTTTGCATGCAAAATATTTAATCTACTTTTTAACTTTAATATAAAAATGCCAGGAATCCTGGATGTTTCCCCAGCTACATACACAAAGCCATGGCCCTTGAACACGTTCTGATACATGATGGCCTTGCGTGTGGCAGGAGAATGGCTCTGACCTTGGCCGTCACCTTTCAGGATGAAGATCATAAGGAGATTCTGGGTGGGTTTGAATCACTAAATTTTTGGTGAACAGCAAGAGCTTAACTGCTGTGTCACCAGGGCTCCTTCCAAAGTCCTATTGCATAAGGAAATTCCCCCACTGGCTTCTGCTCGGTGAGGAATATTCACGTTTTGAGTCACTAACTCGTAGACCTGTCTCCCTGGCCCAGGAACTCTGACAGTGTGATGTGATCCTGAAGGACTGTTTGGAACACTGGTGTCTTATACCAGCTTTTCAGTGTGTAGGGGGAAAGAAAGAAATGGGACCTGACATCAGAGCTGGAGAGAACCGTAAACTTGGGCTTTCAGCATCCCTGATTACGCCTTCACCCCTACTCCTTCCTGGGCCCACTCCCCAAATGCCTCCTTACCCAGGGAAGGGGACAGGTTTTCAGGAAAAGTGGGTATCTGGAACAGACTCAGGATCTGAAAGGGATCCTGAGAGGTGAGGGCATCTCTGGGGGCACCTCTGACTGCTCACAGGCATCCCAAGGGCCATGAAGAGACACACCTGACGGTGGCAACAATGACCTGTGGTGATTCTTTTTAAAAAAATGGTTAATGTTATCTTTTTCCTTCTCCTTTCAAAGTTTCTTGTTAGATATTTAACAAATCCATTCTTTATTTTAATGTATCATTCTTCTCAAAGAAGTGTGCACTTCTTCCAGGAAGAAATACCTGAATGAACAAAGTTTACTTGTACCTGGAAGGCTCTGGGCTGGAGGTAAAATATCCCTGCCAAGCAGCCTCAGAGTCCAATGGCAAAGATCATTTAGTTCTGGGGGGACAGGGGGGACCCTTGAATTCTAATATAGGGCCAGGTTTGAACAAAGCTTTTCAAAATCAAGAACAGAATTCTTGCTTTGATGCCTTTTATAACCCTAGATAAATAATGAAACACACGTCCACTTAAACACAAATTAACCTAGAAGCAAGCATTGTCTTTAATACTTAATCATCTTTGATGACAAAATACAATTTTTAATGGCATTTTTTAAATTATTATTTTATCACTCAGTTTTATATAATCATTCATAGACGTTGTTTCATTCCTGTACATTTTGTTTTTGTTTTATTAAAGAAATATATTTTAATTTTGTATTATTATTAATTTTAATGAAAATTTGCAGAGACTTTGGATTTCCATCCATTCATTGTTGTACTTTTCTCCCTGCCCACCCCTTCCCTCCAGTTCGTTTTTCTCTTTGAAAAGTATAAGAAAAGTTCTTTCATTGTTATACAATCCCTCCCCCCCCAGGCCCACTCCACTATGCAGCCTTCGTTCTGGACTCCTGTCATGACAATAATACCTAATCACATATCCCTTTAAACAGTTCTCTCCCTCATCTGTTTCAGTGCAGTGTACATTATTTATCCCATGAGGATGTCTTGGATAATAACCAGGAGGAGACTCTCTAGGGAGGATGGAGACAGACAAGCCAAGGAGTGGGAAGGAGGGAGGAAGGCTGGAAGAGGTTCCAGGACATCTCGGCTACTCCAGATAGCTCGGAATTCTGCATTATTTAGAAGGACCCCTGCTGTAGTTTGCATCCTCAGAATCAAACCCTTCTGTTCTCTTTAAAATAGAAATCTTGATTTTACTTAAAAAAATTGGTTCCTAAATTATTGCCCTACAATGCAGTAAACGCCTTTGCCATTTCGACGGTTTTCCCGTGTGCTGCTCGGAGGGCCAAGGCACCATTTGTTGTGCAGCTGCTGCTGTCTCTCCAATTTCCTGTCTCCATGAACAACACTTCCGCAGCTGAGCTCCTGTTTTACGTACCTCCCACTTCCTGTCTTCTTCATGGGGGCTGGACACTTCCAGTTCCCCACCCTTCCACCTCCCGGCTCTCTGAGGGAACAAGACCCCACTCACCAGCCACAACCAGCAGAGTGAAGAGCAGGGGGCACTTCATGGTGGCCCTGAGAACACCCAAGACTGGGTGACCGTGGCCTGTCATGGCTCAGTCTGCGTGTCCTTGGCAGGAACAGCTGTGAGGACACACTGAACAGAGGTGGGGACCTGGGGCCAGGGCTGATCAAGGACCGTCCAGTAGTTCTCGGTCTGGTCTTTGTCAAGATCCAACAATCTCAGCACTGCTTTGGGCTCCAAAAAGGGAGGGAGGACTGGAGCTTGTCACACTAGGCTCGTCCCTCTAGTCTGAACATGTCCCAGGCCTGTGTGACCACAGGCCCGCGCCCTCCCTTCTCTATGACATAGCCTCTCTGGTAACCCTGCCTTTGTGATGGGGCCCTTGTGCCCCTCACTCTGCACATGCTCCTTCCTCTGCTCCTGTGACGTGAAGACACAAAACACTGAGACATCAAGTACACTTAGTATGCTGGTTTCTTCCTTCTTCACCAGTTCAGGGATGAAGAAATAATTCCTAGGAAAATTCATGGCCAAGCCAAGACTCAGAACTGAGTCTGCAGATTCCCAGTGAAAATGGTAACTCATGCTCAAGCCTTGGGCTAATGGGAGGCACCATGGTTAAATAAATCCCACCTCTCAGGCTCTTGAATTCTGGAAAATGGCTTACTGCCAAACCCACGCCTTCTGTGTGGCTTTCACTACTCTCTGTCCGCTCGTCTTATGACACCCCTAACACCTCTGGATGGTCCCTATTTGTTCATGACAAGGACCCACACAGACGTCCAACCTCCCAGTTGTGGTCTCGTGAACACTCACTGAGATTAGTACTGTTTGTCTCCCTGAAGATGTTCATGCATAGTGCAGAGAGTTAACATGCTAGGCTGCTGAGAGGTTGAAGGTTTGAGTCCAGCTGCAGGTACCTGACCTAGTCCACCCACAGGAAACAAACCTGGACTTCTACTTCCCAAAGATGACAGCCATTGAAAGCTCTGTGGGACACAGGTCTCCTTGACATGCTTGGAGTAATGAAGAGTGGTCTTCCACCCACCCATCTAAAAGCAGCACGGTGCAGAGATACCTGTGTCATTCTCAGCTGGTGGGAAGACTTTTCATTTTCAACGCCTCCCACTGTAAATCACACACTTATGGCAGTTCTCAAATTAGGCGGCTATGAAGCCGGAGTGGCATCCACTGCCTAAACCACATGCCTCTGGAAACTCTATGAACTTGATGAAATGACGACAGTTACGGAAAGGCAGTAGGTCTTTGTTCATAGAGTATGAGTCACACTCGACAGCCATCAACAACAACAACAACAACAACAACAACAACATGATTCAAGTAGAATGGATTGGGACGAGTGTGGTTTTGTTTGGTGACTTCTCTGTTCTTCCCTGAATGATTCTGTCTAATCTCTTTCTACTCCCATCAAATGGGAGCTGTGAAATTCCCCCACCTCACAGGAAATAGTAGTTTTCAACACCACCTTTCTTTCTCCAGTTTGAAAAGGTCCCCACAAAATAAATGAATCGACTCACTCCCACAACTGATATCTTCCCTCTGAGATATGAAAAACCTCTTCATCAAAACAAACTTAACTGTTGCATTTGCCATAGCACTCCACCATAGCAGGCCCCATGGACTATATTTTTATAAGCAAATTATCTACAATGTAAATGGTTCGAAATAATTTAACGTTCTAGCACAGCTTATTCTAAGACAAACACATGTTGAACTTGAACTGCTGCCTCTGTTTCTGTGACTGGTTTGAGGTTGTCCCTTAGTGGGAAAGACGGTTACACGCTCCACTACTCACAGTTTGAGGCCGTACAGCACCTCTTTGGGAGGCCTAGATCTGCTTCCAAAGACCAACATGTGTGCCCTGCACAGTCGATTTTGCTCTGTAACCCATGGGGTGTCCATTGTGTGGAATCCACCCAAGGCAGCTAGTTTAGTTCTGGTCTTCTTATTTGCAGTGTTCTTTTTTTAAAAATTATTATTTATTTTAATGAAAATTTACAGAGACTTAGGGTTTCTAGTCATTCATTGTTGCACTTTTCTTCCTGTCCACCTCCTCCCCCCTGCCCCCCAACTTACTCTTCTCCTTGAAAAGTAAAAAAAAAACTCTTTCATTGCTATGCAATCCCTCCCCCCAAGTCCACTGCACTGTGCAGCCTTCATTCTGGACTCCTGTCATGACTATAACACCTAATCATATATCCCTTTTAACCAGTTCTCTCACTCATCTGTTGCAATGCAGTATACATCATTCCTCCCCTTCTTCTCTGTCTTTCCTCAACCCCAATGTCAGTCTTGTTTTACAGTAGTGGCCCTATGCAATACTTGTCCTTTTGTGACTGAGATATTTCACTCAGCACAATGTCCTCTAGGGTCATCCACTTTGCCTAATATTTCATGAGTTCCTTGTTTTTCAGTGCTGCATAATATTCCATTGTGTGAATATACCAGAGCTTCTCTATCCATTCATTTGTTGATGGGCATTTGGGTTGTTTCCAGCTCTTTGCTATTGTGAACAAAGCCACAATAAGCACAGGTGTGCATATATCTGCTTGGGTGGCAGTTATGGTTTCTTTAGGGTATCAGCTTTTCCCTGAGATGCCGTTAGACTGGAAATCACCACAGAGTTATCCAGTGAGAGACCACAGTGCCCAGCAAGGCTCGTTTCTAACAGAAGAACTGACAGCAGCACATGAGCCATGAGCTTCAACTAAAACGAAGCATGTTGTCTGAGAGGTGCTGCAAGATTCGTTTTGTCCTTATGTGTAAGGGGGGAATTTGCTGTTTACATGATTCTTTTTGTACTGATTTTTTCAAAGCATCTAGTAATATTTTTGTAATTTAAAAAGATTACTCAAGGATGTGCAGGTAGTGCCATCCTAGGGAGCCCAGGCCATGTGCTCTCAGGTAGGACAATCTCTAGGGAGCCCAGGCCATGTGCTCTCAGGTAGGACAATCTCTAGGGAGCCCAGGCCATGTGCTTTCAGGTAGGACACTCTGCCTCAGCACCCTGGACGTCTCTGTCATACATAAAGAGGAAATGAGTAGAGGGTTTTTAGAATGCCTGCTCCGAACCACTGACCCAGGACTGTCCCTTCGCTGCACTGCGCAGCAGTGTCCCTGGCCTCTTTCTCCATTTCTCAACAAAGGAGAAAACAAAAGAGGAAGCCATGAAAAGCTCACAGATGGACGGCGCCTGTGTCAGGAGGCGGCACACTGCCAGTCCTGCTCTCACGGAACTTCTGAGGCTCTCACATTTACACCTGCACGCTTCATCCCCCTCCGAGCTGGTCATCACGGTTGCATGATGTGATCAGGGAGCTCTCTAAGGACAGCGCCTTTGCAGTGTGTCCAGCAGAGCTGGCTTCAGCAGAACATCAGACTAGCACCCCCTTGATTTTCTATTTATTGTACAGTTATTTTCAACAGAAAGTCCCCCTTGATCTCACCCAAGACAAATAGAAGAATATCTTAAAAGCCGCTCTCTTAATGAGTTGTTCTTGCTAGGTAATGTGGAGTCAGTTGTATCACATAGTGACCCAACGCACAAACATGGAAGCCTCGCCTTCGTCCTCACGTTTCTGCCATGCTCAGCCCCACTGTCGTCAGCCCGTCCACTGGGGATCGTCCTCTCTTCTGCTGCCCCTCTGTTGTTCAAGCATGGTACCCAAGATGCCCACAGTGTTTGAGGTGAAGTTTAACTATCCTTTCCTGTAAGGAACACCTGTTTGCACGTCCTCTAAAGCCATAGTACAGTTAAACTGCTTTCTTTTAATTCAAGAAACCGACACTGTGGTTGAATCAGTATCTTCATGAACCCCTGGAGTCAGGGCAGGCACACCCTCTGAAGAAGGAATAGAAGATTGCTTTGGTACTTTGCCTAGTGCTGGCCATTCTACGCCAAATCAGGCTGACCTTGGATGACGGAGTCCAGTGTGCCCCAAGGGACTCCGAACCTGTGATTTTCACAGGAGCAGGCAGTCAGCTGTGATCACCAAGGAGCAGGTGGTTGGTTCCAACAGTTGACCTTTCCATTCCTCTACTCAGTGCAGCGTGGTAAAGGAAGACGTGACCTGGGGTTTGCAGACAATAGACAGGAGGGGACCCCGGGTGGTGCAAACGGCGCCCATGTTTGGTTGCTCAGGAAAGGACTAGTGATCTACTTCTCAAAAGAGCCATTTTCAAGAAGCTGTGGAGCCCACTACAAAACGGAAGGACTCGTTCACATGCAGAAAGAAATCCTCTACTTTCCAGGAATGGGAAAGGAGAAGGAAAGGACTAGCTAGACGAGATACATAGGAAGAAGGGCATGGCGATGTGTAAAAAGAAGCTGGTCCACACAATGCTATTAAGAAAAGGATGAAACACAGGTGCAAGGCGTACAGAGAACAAAGACAAGTTCTGTACACACAGTCTTCTCGGTATCACCAGACACAGACCTGCCGGTGTACACTCAGGCTAGTTGATACAACGAGCAGGTATGCACAGCAGGTGAAAAGACACTCACAGTCACAGGGTTGACAGTGTTTTCACACACTTATCTGCACGTTGCTGGAGGGTCAGACAGAGAGAAGCAGACCCTCAACAAGATGAACTGACACAATGACTAACACAACGCACGTAAGCACGACCCAGGGAGCGAGGCTGGTACCTGGCCGGGCAAAGTTCAGGTCTGTTGTTCACAGAGTCACTATGCGATGGAGTTGGTTTGATGGCACCTAACAACACAACAGTCAGAGTGCTGTGCTGTCAATCATCACTCATTGCCTTTGAGTCCATTTCTGAGGATGGAAATGGCACAAGAGAAGATTATCTTCCATGGAGGACTCATGGGTGAATTCGAACTATCTAAAGGACAGCACCTTTGGGTTAACAAGGCAACTTTCTATGGACTCTTCTACCAGAGTCCAATTCATGTGCTATAAATGAACTCAGCTCAGTTCATTGCTGTCAAGTTGGAACCGATTCATAGCTAACCCTCCATCGTAAACTGCACAAGAGATTACCCATCGTTTTCCCAAGAAG